TTTATTTGAAAACACAAGCTTTCGGAGCCTCAGTCCTTCGTCAGGTGTTAGTGAGAAAGGTAGTATCAGACACAGAATTTATAAGTAAAAGATCAAAGGCTCACACCATTGATGAGGCTGTACTAAACAAACCTAAGATGCTGTTAAATCTTTAATCGGTTAGAAGGTTTTAATTGATTAATATGTATATGTAAATCCCTGAATTCCTTTCAAATCATGGTCCTGAGAGAAATAAAAGTTTTATCAGTGTAAAGAAGAAGTGACATTTTAGGTCAAAAAATGCATGTTGCGTGTGAGACCTTATTTAGGATCTGTTTGTGTTTTAGACACCACATTAACTGACTGTCCATAAATTGTGTGCTTTTTGAACAAAATAAAATGTATCTGCAAATACAAATTCACCCCATACATTCACGTGTGTGGGAGAAAGAGGGAGTGAGTGTGTGCATGTGTGTGAGTGAGAGTGAGTGTGTGTGTGTATGTGTGTGGTGGGGGGGTAGTGCTGGGGAGAGAGAAAGGCTTGAGAGACAGTATGAGAGAGATTCTATGTGAGAATGTGTATGTATATGTGAGGTGGGGGAGAGAGAGAGAGAGAGAGTGTGTGTGTGTATGTGTGTGTGAGAAAGAGGGAGAGAGAGTGTAAATTTGTGTGGGAGAGAAAGTGTGTGTGTGTGTGGGAGAGTGTGTGTGTGTGTGTGTGTGTGTGTGTGTGTGTGTGTGAGAGAGAGATAGATTTGACAGACACTGTGTATGAGAGAGGATCTGTGTGAGAGTGTGTGTTCGTGTGTGTATGAGGAAGAGAGAGTGTGTATGTGGGAGACTGTGTGTGTGTGTGTGTATGGAAGAGACAGTGTACGTGTTTGGGAGAGAGACTGTGTGCGAGTTTGTGTGAGAGTTTGTGTGTGTGTGTGTGTGTCTGAGTGAGTGTGAGAGTGCATAGTGCGGTGGGGTCACCTGTAGTGCGACATGAACCCAAGATCCTGGTTGAGGCCATCCTCACGGGTACCAAACCTGACTATCACCCCCTGCTTGGTGACTCTGCATTGTTGTGTATCCCAAAATCCGCCTTGGAGGATGTTTACCCGAAGATCTGAGGCTGAATGTCCTTGACTGCTGAAGTGTTCCCCCACTGGGCGGGAACATCTCTGTTTGGTGATTGTTGCGCGGTGTCCATTCATCTGTAGTCGTAGCGTCTGCATGGTCTCGCCAATGTACCATGCCACAGGGCATCCTTGCCTGCAGCGTATGAGATAGACAACGTTGGCCGAGTCACATGAGTGTCTGCCATGCATGTGGTGGGTGGTGTTCCTACATCTGATGGTAGTGTCCATGTCGATGATCTGACATGTCTTGCAGAGGTCACCATGGCAGTGTTGTGTTCAATGTTGCCCTGAAGGCTGGGGTAGTTTGCTGCGAACAATGGTCTGTGTAAGGTTTGGCAGTTGTTTGAAAGTGAGAATTGGAGGCGTGGGGAAGATCTTGGTGAGGTGCTCATCATCATTGATAATGTGTTGGAGGCTGCGAAGAACATGGCGTAGTTTCTAACTGATTAAAGATTTAACAGCATCCTGGTTTGTTTAGTACATCCTCATCAACGGTGTGAACCTTTGATCTTTTCCTTATAAATTCTGTGTCTGGTACTACCTCTCTCACCAACACCTGAAGAAGGAGCGAGGCTCCAAAAGCTTGTGTTTTCAAATAAACCTGTTGGAGGATAACCTGGTGTTGTGTAATTTCAGCCCTAAATGGACTACCGTATCCTTAGACTGTGAGCCCTGATTCTGGACTTCCTCCATCATTGGCAACATCTCTCCTGTTTTTGCCCTGTCTGTCTGTTAGAATGTTCTGTGTTTCTATGAGATCCCACTGCCCTCATTCTTCAAAATTACAGTGATTGCAATGCTTCTTAATGGAACTCACTTGAAGTTTGTGCCCGATTTGAGCTCTTTTATTGCAAAGTGGAAGGTTTCAACACCGAGATCTGCAACTTGCTGTAACTTAAAATCACGTATAATTGTTATTTTGTTTTGTGTAGGATCCGTCACTTCTCTAAACACCTCTTTAAGTGCTGTATAGTCTATTCTTACTGCAAAGGCTTTGATTTCGACAATGAGCTCACTCCAATGGGTGAAGTTAATCGTTGTCATGGATGGTACCCCACCAGGTTTGCAAAGACGTTCATCCAACACGTGAGCTTCAGCCTTGTTCACCTTGACCTTGTCAGTGCTTGTTATTTCTTTTTGTCTGATTCTGCGTCGATCGGAGAGCGGACGCCAATTCTGCAAGCGGGTGGGAGCCCCCCCCAACTCGCACCCTGCTCAAGGCGCTTAGCTTTCCCCATTATGGGGCGATTTCCCCCCGAGGTAGTATCCTATTCACAAACCTCAAACGCGACCCGGTCAGATTCTAGAGAGGGTGGGCATCCCTGAAGGTAGAGAAACTGCCATCGGTTGCAAATCACGTTGGATTTATTGGCGGATGTAAGGCCATGCTTAAGAAAAGGTGAGTGGTAAGCAGCAAAAAAAAACTCGGCCCTTGCTGCTTTTGACGCCAACCTGAGCACAGATGGTGTTGCCTTTGGTCTCCTCCTCATCTTCTGTCTTTGCGAGCCTGCTGCCATTTTTGCCAAAGTGTAATACTCCAGAACTTTCCCGGATCAAAAGACACAGCAACAACTCAGTCTGGAGTTAACTGTTAAGGGACAAGGACAAACTGTTATGCCGGAATTGAAAGCAATTAGCCACATACAGGAGAAGGAGGAAGCTACAGGAACAAAATTGTTTCAACCACCTGGTTGATAACTAGCTGCCTTATTACTGCAGGAACAAATGATTGCTCTGCAAAAGTATTTAAGGAGTTCACTGCGGGAAAGTTGTGGTCTTTACAGACAGTCAATGCCAAATGTAACAATGAACAGGGAAGTAACCTCTGGTAAGGAGGCAAGTTGCAGACTGGATGGTTTCAGGGGACTAGTCAATAATGTGGTTGAAAAATCTGAAAGATCGTCACAATGTCACACCATGAACTCGAAGGACAGAAAATACTGTAAGAATTCAACACCAGGATTATTCAGGAGCAGAACTTTGAAGAACAACACTGCAGAAAGATCGAACCCTGGACACATCCAGTGACAGATGCTGTTGTTTGGAATTGTAACTGAATTCCACTATTAATTGTGGAATCGCCAAGCTGAGTTGGGAGGCTTAACTTGTTTACTTGGAGGTTCCATTATTGGTGGCTACACACAATAAAGTTTAAATAATTGTTTCAGCATTCCTCTGTGAAATTCCTGAATAAGTAGCCAAATTAAAGGTAGCTCGTGGGAATTGACACACAACAATCCTCTTTTGAATCTATTTCCCAGTGGTTTCTCTATAGCATTTAGTCACAATCTTGTGGGTTTCCACACATTGGTTGAGACACCCTGCTATCTCATTTACTCCCTGATGGGTCAGGAACTGGTTGATTTTCTGCATCTTCTCCCTCTGCTCTTACCTATTTAGTCTCAGCTTTGAGCAGTCTTTAAATGCTGGCAAACAGCGTACATCTTCAAGCCTTGTGTCACAACAAAGGTGCCCCTACATCTGGGCCACACATTCCAGGTTCAAGTCCTGCCTTGGGGACTGATTGTCACAGAAGTGTACCTTAACACAGCAGAACAGGTTGATAACTCAACTAGTCTAATTGATGGCCTGCCTCAGAACAAGAGGGAATTGCTATGCTTTTTAAGATTATGGGACTGGAACTCATTGTGAGCTGTGTTTACACTGCTGCTTCATTCAATCAGTTGGAGAGGAGAGATGAAGGGTGTGTGTGTGACTGAGTGTGTTTTTAGACTGAGGTTTAGTTGGAAACAGGGAGCTGATTGGTTTGTGCAATTGTGACCGCTTGTGGATGCCAAAGCTGATCAGCCTGACGACAATCCTTTGATCAGTTCCTAGGCAGCTAAAGGCTTATGGATGGCCAAAGGGAGTCCAGGTTGGAAGATGCGGGTTAGGTCTCTACATCTGTGTGGCGAAAGCACCTGAACCGTGACAAAAATATGTCACTTTTTTTTTCTATTCATTTGTGGGATGTGGGCATCGCTGGCTGGGCCAGCATTTCTTGCCTGTCCCTAGTTGCCCTTGAGAAGGTGGTGGTGAGATGTCTTCTTGAACTGCTGCAGTCCTCCTGCTGTGGGTTGACCCACAATGCCCCTTAGGCAGGGAATTCCAAGATTTTGACCAAGCGACACTGAAGGAACGGTGATATATTTCCAAGTCAGGATGGTGAGTGGCTCGGAGGGGAACTTGCAGGGGGTGGTGTTCCCATGCATCTGCTGCCCTTGTTTTTCTAGATGGAAATGGTCGTGCGTTTGGAAGGTGCTGTCTGAGGATCTTTGGTGAATTTCTGCAGAGCATCTGAGAGATGGTACACACTGCTGCTACTAAGAGTCGGTGGTGGAGGGAGTGGATATTTGTGGATGTTGTGCCAATCAAGCGGGGGATGCTTTGTCCTGGATGGTGACAAACCTTCTCGAGTATTGTTGGAGCTGCATCCATCTGGGCAAGTGGGGAGTACTCCATCACACTCCTGACTTGTGCCTTGTAGATGGTGGACAGGCTTTGAGGAGTCAGGAGGTGAGTTACAGTATTCCTAGCTTCTGGTCTGCTGTTGTAGCCACTGTATTAATGTGGTGAGTCCAGTTGAGTTTCTGGTCAATGGTAACCCCCAGGATGTTACTAGTGAGGGACTCAGTGATGGTAACACCATTGAATGTCAAGGGATGGTGATTAGATTGTCTTTTTTTGGTGATGGTTATAGTCTGGCATTTGTACAGCAAAATGTCACTTGCCACTTGTCAGCCCAAGCCTGGATATTGTCCAGATCTTGTTGCATTTGCAAACGTTTCAGTATCTGAGGGGTAATGATTATCTCCTGCCAGTTGTTATAAGCTATTGGCTTTAACCGAGTATCTAAGAGACTTTGTAATTCATGTGCTAATCATTCTGTGCCTTCAGTGAAGAAGTGATACAGCCTGGACGTAAGAGATTGAAGCTCAAAAGGTGTTGAGAAGCAAGAGGGACATCTCATTGAACCCTGTGAACTGGTGCCATTAAAGTGTGCTTCCCCAGCATGGTGGCTCAATGGTTAGTACTGCTTCTTTACAGCATGAGGGACCTAGGCTCAACTCCAGCCTTGGTTACTGTCTGGGTAAAATTTCTACAGTCTTCCTGTGTCTCCATGGTTTCCTCCCACAGTCCAAAGATTTGGTGGATTGGCTATGCTAAGTTGCCTGTAGCGTTCAGGATTGTGAGGTTACGAGGATAGGGCTGGGTGGGATACTTTTTGGAAGGCTGGTGCAGACATCATGGGTGGAATGGTCTCTTTCTGCAATGTAGGGATTCTATGATTTTTGGATCATGGGTTAATAAACAGAGAGGACTACAGGAAGACACCTAATGCAACTAATTGGAAGCAAACATTAAAAATCTGAGCTACACCCAGCCTATAAATAGAACTAAATATTGAACTGGGAACTGAACTGAATTACATTATCGATGAATTCAACGATCTTGGAGAGTTGGCACTGGAAGTTTACTAGGAGGGTACCAGAGCTGGAGAAATTTATTTAAATTTGTTTATGAGTCATTGGCTGGGCTGGCATTTATTGCCCATCCCTAATTGCCCATAGGGAAGTTAAGGGTCAACCACATTGCTGTGCGTCTGGAGTCACATGTAGGCCAGACCAGGTAAAGATGGCAAATTTCCTTACCTAAAAGACATTAGTGAACCAGATGGGTTTTCACAACAATGGGGATGATGTCCTCCATTTCCCCTGAAATTGAGTTCAAATTGCACCAACTCTCTTGGTGGGATTTGAACTCATGTCCCCAGAACATCGACTCCATTTTTTTCTCCCTTGCCCAGTCCCTTCCCACTTATATCCGCAACTCTTTGAACGCTTTATATCAACTCTGGATGCCATCACTTCTACAGTCCTGTCGATCACAGGGCCCCTGTTTCCACATCTCATTCAGCGTTCACTATAGAACTAATCATCTCTATCCTTGTGCTCCTCATCTTGTGGCTCATTGCAAAGTTCTGATTTCTGTTCATTTTCAGCCATATTCATTTCTCATTCAGTCCCATTTAGTTCCCATTTCTACACACAGATTCTATATCGTTTGTTTCTTTTTCGACTCAGTTTATTTTTATCTACATTCAAGTGACGCCCAGCGTTGCATCGTCCAGAGTTACAATGTCTAGAGTTACACTGTCTAGTCATGATGTGGAGGTGCTGGTGTTGGACTGGGGTGGCCAAGACACCTGGTTGTAGACCGACAGGTTTATTTGAAATCAGAAACTTCAAGAGCAGAGGTCCTTCCTTGACTTCGCCTGACGAACACGCAGCAACCCTAAAAGCCCATGATTTCAAACAAACCTATTGGACAAAACCTGCTGTCATAGTGTTACAGTGTCTGGATTTACAGGATTAGCATTGCAGAGCTCAGGCTTACAGTGTCCAGTTATGACACAGGGATAACGAGCTAAACCAAATCAGCCTCTCTATCATTGGATTCATAGCACAGTGAAATTCATCCATTCAACGACCCTCAAGATTGTTCAATTGTTCCTAAACCAGAAATTTACAAACAACAGATCTTCGGCACCAAGTTTATAACTTAAACACAAATTAACAATTTAAATTTTAACAATGTAACTTTAGCAGAATACAAACGAACAACAAGGGAATTTTATAATCATCTCTGATCTAAGCGCAATCTTCTTTGATCATAAAGACGCCTCTCACACCCTGACAGAGTTAAGGGATAAATTTAAAAAGAAAATTGCAATTTGCCAGTAGATAATAGTTGCCAGTAGGCCTTCATGAAACCCTTTGATGATGCATTGCATTACTGGCACAGAAACTTGTTATCTTGTTTGAATTCAAAAGTCCCCAGTCAATGTAAACCACTTCTGCAGATTTCTGGACACTGTTACTTATTTCTTACGACAGGGATTCTTGTCAACCAGTTGATATCTGGGGATGTAACTAGACAAAGCCAAACAAAAAAAAGCAAAACCAGCCCAGTCCAGCAGCTTCCAAAGCAACACTTCCTCCAACTCTGAAAGCCAGTCAGAGTGAGCCCACTCATTGTTTTCTCTTTCTTTCTCACCGTTCTCTGTGGCTGACTGGCCGACACCATTCCTCTTATGGACTGACCAGTTCAATATCCATCCAGCTGTCATTCCCTGAGACGAACAATATCTCAGTACTGGAATGTCTACAGTGTTCTTAGAGCAGTAATTCACCTGCCAGTCTCAGTGCCCAACATTACAGTACAAAGTCTCACAATGCCTGGCATTACAGTGCCCATTGTCAATGCCCAATGTTACAGTGCCCAATCTCACAATGCCCAGTCTCTATTGTGCCCAACATTACAGTACAAAGTCTCAGTGCCTGGCATTAATGCCCAGTATCAATGCCCAGTGTTACAGTGCCCAGTCTCTACTGTGCCCAAGATAACAGTACAAAGTCTCACAGTGTCCGGTATTAGTGCCCAGTGTCAATACCCAAATGTTACAGCACCCAGTCTCAGTGTTTCCTATGTCTCACCAGCCACCCCCACCACAACTGCCCAGGTTTACCCTGCCCCCACCTGCACCCCAGCCCCGGTTTCACCCAGTGTCCTGTTTCGGAGATATTCCTCCATGCACTGCACCGCCATGTTGTCCACGTCAGGGTCAAACTTGTTTGCAAAGAAAGGTCTCTGGTTCAGCAGCCACTGGAGATCTCCTGCCCCGTACACACAGATCATATGGCGGTACATTCCCGTGCAGTGGGAGTAGGGGGCACCCTTCGCCACATCACCAGCCTCGGAGGACCACTTCACTGCCCGCCCGAGGGTCCTCGCGGCTCCCCGGGTGTACTGGACATAGCCGGGCGTGTCACGCATTCTCAGCAGGGTCGCCCACACATGCTCGTCTGGACTGTAGGTGTCCTCCGACCACTTGAGGAAGGCCCTGACCGCGGCGCTGGCGAACACGTGGGTGACGAACTCTCTGGTGACCATGATGTAGGCGCTGCCCACGAAAATGGAGGAGTTGATGTTGGGCGGGTCCTTTACTTGCCCGGTCCAGACCACCCGGTCATGTGTATCGTGGTGGTATTGCCAACGTTTCTGAAAGGCAGGCGCGAGAGAGAGAGTTAGAGAGACGAGATGAGAAAACAGAGATTGTAACTTCTCAACATCGCAACTTTGCCGTTGGGGTTCTTCCTCGACTCATCTGCGCTACCCCCACCCCCCACGCACCAGCATGAAAGAAAGCATGCTGCTTCTGTCAGTTACACACACCTTAAAGCAGAGAATGAGGCCATTCAGCCCCTCAGGACTGCGCCGTTCCTAGTCCTAGTCCCAGTCTCCTGCCTTTTCCCCCTATATCCCTGCCCCCCCCAAACCATCTCCCAATGCTCACTTGCTGAGCAAAGGTCAAACTCATCCACAAACTCTCCCAGTGGTTCTGGTTTCCAAGAAGAAATAACTTCAAGCCCTGTCATAGAGATCTACAGCACCAGAAAAAAAAGAGACCCTTCGACCCATTGTATCTGCACTGGTCATAAAAACAAGTTCCTAACTATTCTAGTCCTTTGGAAAATAAGCTTGCATGCCTTCCAAGTGCACTGAAGACACATTCCTATTGTCATCAACTCCTACAGTGGGAACTTAACCCAGAGCTTCTGCCTTAGAGAGAAGGACGTGGGGTGCAGGTACAAAGTAGAGTTGCAGGTAGACAGGATAGGGAAGAAGGCATTTGGAATGTTTGCCTTCATTGGTCAATACATTGAGTATAGGAGTTGGGAGGGTCATGTTGTGGTTGTACAGGACATTGGTTAGGCAACTTTTGGAATACTGTGTGCAATTCTGGTCTCCCTGCTATACGAAGGATGTTGTTAAACTAGAAAGGGTTCAGAAAAGATTTACAAGGATGTTACAAGGGTTGGAGGGTTTGAGCTACAGGGAGAGGCTGAATAGGCTGGGGCTATTTTCCCTGGAGCATCAGAGGCTGAGGGGGTGACCTTATAGAGGTTTATAAAATCATGAGGGGCATGGATAGGGTGAATAGCCAAGGTGTTTTCTCCAGGGTAGGGGAGTCCAAAACTAAAGGGCATAGGTCTAAGGTGAGAGGGGAAAGATTTAAAAGGGACCCAAAGGATAACTTTTTCACACAAAGGGTGGTGCGTGCATAGAATGACCTGCCAGAGGAAGTGGTGGAGGCTGGTACAATAACAATATTTAAAAGGCATCTGGATAGGTACATGAATAGAAAGGGTTTAGAGGGATATGGGCCAAATGCTGGCAAATAGGACTTTGGTAAGATTGGGATGTCTGGTCAGCATGGATCAACTGCACCGAAGGGTCTGTTTCCATGCCGTATGACTCTGTGCCCTCAGGTCATGGAGGTCTACAGCATTAAAAGAGAGAAACCCTTCAGCCCATTGTGTCCCCACCATTCAAAAACTCAAGCTCCTAGCTACTCTCGTCCCATTTTGCAGCATTTGACCCATAGCCTTGTGTGCATCTCAATAGCAGTGAAGACACCTTCCTCTGGCCTTTAGCTCCTGGAGTGGGACTTAAACCCAAAGCTTCTGCCTCACACACTGCATCAGAAGATATCTTTTACCTTCAGTCCTTGTGGCATCAACTCATGGGAGGTATAAATCCTTGGTTGCCAATGGGGAGATAGATTATCGAGGGTATGCAGAAATGTGAATGGTGGAGCAGACTGTAAAGCCCCAATGGCGTACTCTTGTTCCTTGTGTGTACAGGAGCAGGTCTCCTTTTCTTTAGCCACCTTACATTGGAATTTGCCATCATCTCGTACAGCTCTGTTCAATCTGCTCTCATTCTCCATTATTTTCCCAAATTAGCCTTGCAGCTAACATCTCCCATCTTAATACAATCCTCACTTCACGGCCCTTGTAACCTTTCCTTGAGTTTAGGCTTCACTCGTTTTTGATTCCTTTGGTCTCACCCAACTCCACCCCCCGACCCCGTGCCTCTGACCCAAAATCTTGCATCTGCGACCCACTGCACTTGTGCAAACGGTGAATAGTTAACTGTATTTCCTTGTCTCCATCACCTAGTGCTAACCCTGTGCACATCGATCAAACCTCCCCTGAATCTCCTTTGCTCCAATGCTGAACTCTCCACCTGAGCCATTCAACATAAACCATGGCAGCATTCTGCAGAATCACCTCTTCCCTTCTCCCAAAGGCCCTCACATCATTTCGTCGTGACCAGAAGTGGACGCAATAATCCGACTGGGGATAAACCATGCAGCATAATACAACCGTTTATTGTCATCAATGCCTCTATTTATAAATCCTTATGCTTTCCTACCCTCTTAAGGACTCCTCCACCTTCAAATGTTGATGTATATTGATCGCCAGGTCCCTCTAAGCCTGTGCACACTTTACAATCATGCCATCTTGTCTATATTACCTCTCCACATCCCTTCGCCCAAAACTTATCATCTCATATTCCTCTGTATTATATTCCGACTAGAAGCAGTCTGTGCATTCTGGTGGCTGTGGTCAATTTGTATCATCCTCATCGTTTGCCAATTCTCCAGGTTTATCATCACCCCCGAATATTTGTAACATTTTGCCTCTATATGGACAGAAAGCAGTCGTCTATTTAGGGCTGAGATGAGGAAACGTTTCTTCATTCAAAGGAATGTGAACTTACGGAATTCTCGACCGCAGACAGCTGTGGAGGCCGGGTCACTGAATATATCCAAGAAAGCAACTGACAAACGTTTAGATTTCAAAGGCATCAGAGGGGCATGGGGAGAAAGCAGGAGTATAGCATTGAGATGGAGGATTGGCCACGATCGTATTGTATGGTGGTGCGAATTAATGATCTTGCCCTGCTCCTGGTCTCGACGTTTCTATGCCCCATGCATGGGGAATATTTCTGCCTCCCAACCTTCCATCCAAAACAAGATCCATGGATCAGGACCTGTGTTGTCAATTTTGTTGTCCAGCCTTTTATCTGGTGCCAAGTGCCTCATTGAATCCAGTTCAGACAACATTCCCTGCATTAAAATTCTCAGCTCCTTCATCCATGCATTATACATTTACCTTTTGCAGACCGGTGCTGGCTTCCCTTCATTAACTCAGTCTAAGATAGGTTGATGTGAATTGCAGCGATAACTACACGCATCAAAGTCAAGCTTGTGATATAAAGTAAACGAGAGTCCATGCGGTGTGAGCCTAGGAGACCCAGGTTCAAGTCCCACCTACTCCAGAGGTGTGTCAATAACATCTTTGATTAGCAAATATATGACCATTAAGAAATAGGAACAGAAGTAGGCCATTCAGCCCCTTGAGCCTGCTCCACCATTTAATAGGGTCATGGCTGATTTGACATTCCTCACGTCCACTTTTCTGCCCTTTCCCTGTAACCCTTAATTCCCCGACTGATCAAGAATCTATCTCAGCCTTAAAATTTCACAGTTCTCTGTGGTGAGGAGTTCCAATGACTCACAACCCAATGAGAGAAGAAATTCCTCCTCATCTCAGTCTCAAATTGGTGCCCCTTTATTCTGAGACTGGTCCCCATGAGGGGAAACATCTTCTCAGCATTTCTGTCAAATCTTTTAAGAATCCAATATGTTTCAATGAGATCACCTGTCACTCTTCTAAACTCCAGTGAGTTGAGTCCCAGTTTGTTTAACCTTTGCTCATAAGATTGTCCCTCCATACCAGGGATCATCCTAGTGAACGTTCTCTCAACTGCCTCCAATGAAACAATGATGAGATAACAAGGTGTAGAGCTGGATGAACACAGCAGGCCAGGCTGACGTTTCGGGCCTAGACCCTTCTTCAGAAATGGGAAATGAAACAATACCTATTCTTAAATAAGGGAACGAAAACTGCTCACAGCGCTTCAGATGTGATTTCACCAGCATCCTGTACAGCTGCAGTAAGACGTCCTGACTCTTATACTCCAACCCCCTTGATATAAGGGCCAACATTCTATTTCAGTTCTGAAGAGAGACTTGGAAACTTCAATGAAACTTATGTTGAAACAAATTTAGAGCGGCACGGTGACTCAGTGGTTAGCATCGCTGCCTCACAGCCCCTGGGTTCAATTCCAGCCTCAGGCGACTGTCTGTGTGGAGTTTGCACATTCTCCTCATGTCTGCGTGGGTTTCCTCCGGGTGCTCCGGTTTCCTCCCACAGTCCAAAGACGTGCAGGCTAGGAGGATTGGCCATGCTAAATTGCCCGTAGTGTTCAGGAATGTGCCGATTAGGTGGGTTACGGGGGAATGGGTCTGAGTAGGATGTTCTGAGGTTCGGTGTGGACTTGTTGGGCTGAAGGGCCTGTTTCCACACTGTAGGGATTCTATGATTCTATCTTACTCTGCTTTTAATAAATTCACCAACTGAGCCTGCGCAACTTCTTGCAGAAGAGGATCCCATCGTATAACAGCTCTGTTAAAGAAAAATAACTGTACAAGGCATTGGTGAGGCTGCTTTTGGAATACTGTATACAATTCTGGTCACTCTGCTATAGGAAGGATGTTGTTAAACTGGAAAGGGTTAAGAAAAGATTGACAAGGATATTGCCAGGACTGGAAGGTTTGAGTTATAAGGAGAGGCTGGATAGACTGGGACTTTTTTCCCTGGAGTGTTGGAGGCTGAGGAGTGACTCTACAGAGGTTTATAAAATCATGGGGTGGTGGGGAGGGAGAATCAATAGTGCAAATAACCAAGGTCTTTGTCCAGGGTAGGAGAGTAAGAAACTAGAGGGTGAGAGGGAAAAGATTTAAAAGGGACCTGAGTGTGGTGCAAATATTGAACAAACTAGAAGAGGACATGGTACAGGTCGGTACAATACAACATTTAAAAGACAACATGAAGAGGAAAGTTTGAGAGGGATATGGGCCAAACGCAATCAAATGGGACTATTTCAGTTTAGGACACCTGGTCAGCATGGACAAGTTGGATTGAAGGATCTGTTTCCATGCTGAATGACTTTATGATCCTATTCAAAGTTTTAGCAAAGATTTGTAGCTGAGGTTGTGGGATGAGGTTGTTGACTTGCTTGCCGAACTGGCTTGTTTTCATTCAGGCTTCATCAGAGGCCTCACTGATGACGTTACCTAGCATGGTGATGAAATATCTGTATGAAAACAAACCAGCTCGGCAAGCAAGTCACCAACCTTTATGATCCTATTCCTTATTCTGCAGAACATTTTGCCATACACACAAAACATAGCATTCTCCCAACAACCACCTCGTCGCGTCCCCTCAGAACTTCATACATTTCAAAAAGATTTCCCCTCAGACTTCCAAACTTAAATGCATAAAAGCCAATTTGTTCGACTTTCCTTCACAAGGTACACCCTCATCCCAGCAGCAGGTCAGGTGACACTTCTTGCATTGCTGTCAATGCAATTACATTATTTTTTTAAATGAGAGAAAAACGTACAGAAAAATTCAGACATGGTTTCATCAAGGCCCTGTAGGGCACTGTTAGAACTTACTTATTCTTATACCCTGTCCTACTTTCAATAAACAGCACTACTCCATTTGCCTTTTGAATTGTTTGCTGTGGGCTGTATAGGTCTTGTGAGACCCAGCTCACTTTGTACCAGATACCTCAGCAATCTTATCTACTTTAAACGATTAACATTCAAAAAGTACACGTATTATATTCTACCAAGTAAGGGAGGCGATGGCCTCGTGATATTATCGCTGGACTGTTAATCCAGAGACCAGAGAACATTCTGGGGACCCGGGTGCGAATCCCGCCACAGCAATAAATATCTGGAATTAAGAATCTAACGATGACCATGAATCCATTGTCGTTTGTCAGGGGAAAAACCCATCTAGTTCCCTTTAGGGAAGGAAACTGCCATCCTTACCTGGTCTGGCCTGCATGTGACTCCAGACCCACAGCAATGTGGTTGACTCTTTACTGCTGTCTGGGCAATAAATGCTGTCTAGCCAGCAATGCCCTCAATCTGTGAATGAATAAAGGACTTAATCTACCAATATCCCTTTGAATACTCTCAAACTATGGACATCTATTTATACACTGTCTGTAGTGATTGTAACATGATCAGGCAAATGGACCTCACGGAATGAGTTCCCTAATTGGGGCAGTTAAATCATGGAGCCCTGGCTGACAGATATAAACAGGAGTGTCAGAGGTTCTATTCACTCTGAGAGCTGGCTCTGAGGAAGCTGGGTCAGGGTCAGTGACTATCCACGTGTACATAAAGGGTGACTTGGTGTTGGGATACTGGCCTCTGTGGAGGTATCTCACTATCAACCGAACAACAATGCTTTACGTGGTCTTATCTGAACCTACATCCTTTTGTACACTCCTAACCTGCCTACATCCCTTTATACTTTCGTAATCAATCTATATCTCTTTACACACACTGAACTTAATTAGATTCCTTTGCACACTCTTAACCAACGTACATTCTTTTGCACCCTTGTAACCAGTCTATATCCCTTTGTACAATCTTAGTCAACGGACATCTCTGTGAACACTTTTAATAACCCGTTTCCCTTTGTACACAAGTGAGTGAAGGATTGGAGGAGAGAGAGATAGAGAGAGAGTGAGGTAATGGAGGGAGGGAGGGGAAACACTTGGATGAAGAGAGGACCAGCGGACGGGAAGGCGTTTACCTTTTTGTACCGTGGCGGGGGGTCCGACTCAATCACGTTGGAGCCGTTCATAGCTTTGAGGCTGCGAACTATCTCCCGGTTGGTCTTCAGAGGGAGGTCTTGGCCACACACATTGATAAAATACCTCCAGGGGACAGGGCTCTCCAATAGCTCCTCCATGCAGTTGAGATCTGCCTGAACTCTGGCCCAGGCAGCATAGGTGACCGACTCTCGCTTGGCTGCGACAAAGACGTTATGGAAACACGAAGCGATGGCCCGGACGGCCAAATGGAATTGACTTGGGGACTTGTGGTCCATGTGGATGCAGTAGACATTCTGTGGGGCGTAAATGCTTCGTAGAAGCCTTTCGAACATCTCAATGCTATTGTGGATGACCATGGAGTAAGCCAAGGGGAAGTTTTCTTCCTCAGGGCTGAGGGGGACAGTGATATACTTGCGGGCCCTCAGGAAGGAACTGCAATTTCGGGTCATGTCCAGATAATCACCTTCGGTAACGCCTTGGCGCTTGAGGGAGACAGTGATGGAATCGAGGAGGACCCTTTCCACCTCCTGCCTGTCCCCCCTGATGATCCGCCAGCAGGTGGAGTTCTCCTCGACCAAGAGGAAGTGCCCCTGCATTGCACCAGCACCTGGCTTCACCATCCCAAGGGACAGCCAGCCCTTTTCACTCAGGGCCAGGAACCAGCGGCACAGCAAGACTACACAGAGCACACACAGCACTGACCTGAAGCTCAACCGGCGGGCACAACGCCGGCTCAGTTTGGGCATGGCACTTTCCAGAGGGCTGTGTGCCCAACCTTTAGGGGATACTCAAATACAGAATGGATGCTCTCTCTCTCTCTCTCTGCACTGTGCACCCCCACCCCGCTCTGCCCCCGGGGGTTTGTGGGGAAGGAAGGCTGCAATTTGCTGGATTGGTCACACCGGCCAGTCCCCCCTCCTGGTCAGACCGTGTCTTCCCTTCTCCCTGAGACTCGAGGGCTTGCTCAGACTTACACTCCCACTCCCTCCGGAACTCTTCTTCCTCTCACTCTGTAACTCCTCTCCTCTCTCTCTCCTCTTTTCTATATGCTCCCTCCTTCTCTCTCTCTCTGTAACTTCTCTCCCTCCCTCTCTTGTCTTCCTCCCCCTCTGTAACTCCTCTCCCTCTCTCCCCCTCCTTCCCTCTGTAACT